GGGAGTTTGCTTGAAAAGCATTGTACCCTTTTAATATGGCAAAATTGGGTTTCGAGTGGTCTATCCCCGCTCATGTTCACCTGAAAGCATTGCGATTGTTGAGTAGTAGAGTTATTGGCTCGCATGTAATTAATTGATGTAGTGGCCTTTCGCAGTCTTGATATTACGTTGGGTCGCACCCTACTTCTGACGTTTTGATAGTCGGGACTTGATTCTCGTTGACCATGAAGTTATCTGAAATGAGCTAACGATAGCCCAGTCAATATCTAAATATGCGGTTTTAATATTTCAACAATGGTGTTATGTCAAGGCACAAAACGAGGTGGTAAAGAACAGAATGACTATAAGAGTATCGAAAGAGTGTACGCATGGCATTGTAGAAATGAATGCATGGGGTCCTACCACTTCGGTTGCCAAGTGGAGTGATGTGGAGTCGATCGAGACTGGTACAGGAAAACCCGATCAATGCTTGATTTCATCGCATTATTCTCTATTTCCTTAGATAATCATTGATTTGCATCCCTACGAGAAACGTTGGTTGCCAATTCATCTCTTTGTTGGTGCGAATTCCTGTACTTGCGGTAGCGCCCAGGAACACAATCACTCAAGCGACGGTGGTAAACAGCTCAATCTCCTTCACATTTCATTGCAGACCACTCTCAGCACCAACAAGCTCCTTCAAAAGTATGACCTCCTTTTGGGACAGTTTCTGCAAATTCCGAATGTTTTGGACGTTAGACAGAAGGTATGCCGCACCTGTTCTTTGCAATTTAGACCATTATAAAAAAATCAATAGTGTATTCTTGTCTAGGATACTCAAGCCCAAGGCTAGGAAAGAAGTTGTCAATTTGTACCATAAAAACTCTAGTTTTTATTTGAGGATGAAGGGTGGTGGGTAAAAAGATTTTGATGATGTGTAGCCAGGGTATCTTGTGTCCCATACTTCACTGTCACGAATTAATCTTTACCACGCGCTCCTTGATTTGATAAATAATTTCTTATTTTCACTGTCCCAGGATTATTAGCACACAATACTTTAATTTGAGTTTCGGACTTATCTTTCTTACCATCATGTCACCAAATCTTGCTGGGACTTAAGTCAACTATTAAAGTGTCTTCTCCAATAAGCGCAGGTGTTTCAATTGCCTTAATGGAGGAGTGATTGCAATTTTGAATGTTCAGTTATTGATTTAGGTATTTACTAATCAACCTTGAGTTATTACGGTAAACAGCATTCATTGCTTAGACCTTCAATAATGTCCTCTCAATCAGACAGCCAATCAATGCCATATCCCAAGTTCTCTCCCTTCATTTTCTGAGCGCAGTCAAGGAGGAACCAAGATTATAATAAGTGGTTTGCGATAGACTTACCTCCACGTGGTGCACCCTGGGCAACGTATATTCATAAGGCAAAAAAGTCTATTAACCGGCAGTTGACTTCTGACTCCAACCTACCATCACCCCACTGTATGTTATATTCGACTACTTCCATAATACTCACCTCACCTTTTTTCTACCTTATTGTCTGTCTCTTTTACATCTTTGAAACACTCTTCTGTCCCCCCCCCCCCCCCCCCCCC